TTTCCTGATTCCACTTTGACCTCTTCACCTCCGGTAATCACCCCCCAAAACACAAACCCTCCCTTTACCCTCCCCCTCCCCCCACACCCCACCTGTTCTTGGACCTGAGAGTTTGCTTTTGTGTTGTGTTGTTGGGTGGCCTCATTTCTTTGTTCCTACCACACAGTCTTGTCTTGCTGTGAGACTTGGTAGTTTGGGTGCAGTGCACAACCCGGGGGCACACGTTTCATGTCTGCATTTACACCCATGCAGTGCTTTTGGCTACTGAATGCCCACATGCGCTTTCCTGCCATCCTAATGCCCTGGAAGGGAGGGCTGGCCCGGGCAGGGGTGTCCTGGGAAAGGTTCAGATTCTTTTGGCTCAGAGCTGAGCCAAAGTCTGAGCCAACCAGCTCTGGATTCCTGGCTAGAAAGTTCCCTGTCAGCTCCCTAGATTAGACCTGACCTCCAGGCAACTACATCATAGCCATCAACATCACAAAAGATTGTTCACAGTTAAATAAGCACTTCTTTGATGACACTGACTGGATTTTCCTGAGGGAAGAGTTTTCCAGGGGAGATTCCTGAAAGAATCCTAAAAATCCTGTAAATAATCAAGGAAGGTGGAGTGGACTGGGTCACCCTCCATTTTCACTGGTGGCTTTTCCTTAGCTTCTGTTTAGGGATCCAGAGTAGCTCAGAGACTTTCTGGGGCAGTCTCCTGTTGCCAGAGCAGTCCTGTGGGTTTAGGAGGGACTAATCATTCTCTCTGAATTTATTCTCCTTCATCTTTATTATTATTGTCACTGCTGCTTTTATTATTGCAATAAAGTACTTACACATACTTGAACTAGTTGTGAGCAATGAGAAATGCTGCTTTCCAAAGGGAACAACTGTTGGGCTGGAGCCATAGCACAGCAGGTAGGGCATTTGCCTTGCACGCAGCCAACCTGGGTTTGATTCCTGGCATCCCATATGGTCCCCTAAGCACCACCAGGAGTAATTCCTGAGTGCAGAGCCAGAAGTAATCCCTAAGCAAAACCAGGTGTCACACACACGCAACAGTTACTCTTCTTTCCTTAAAGACATTTGCTCGCTGGGAGATAGTACAATGGCTGAGGCCCTTTGCTTGTGGCTGTTTGACCCACAGCTCTCTGTATAGTCAGTCCCACGAGCACTGCCAGGAGTGATCTCAGAGCTAAGCATAAACCTGAGCACTGACAGGTGTGGTGGCCTGCCCCAGCCCTAAGACATTTATTCCTAAATCTGCATAGATCATCTGAATATATTTTAAAAACAAAAATGGGATGATTATTTTTCTTTTCTTGTTTTTTTTGAGGGGCTCATACCTGGCTGTGCTCAGGGCTTACTTTTGACTTGGGTCTCAGGTACTGTCTAATCCAGGGACCTTGTGAGGTGCAGGGAATGGAACCCAGTTTGGCCATGTGCATGGCCAGTACCTACCTGCTGGACACCCTCTCCAATAATCCCAAAAATGTAATTATTCTTTATTATGTAGCTTCCTTTTTAAAAATTTTCTCCATAGCAGCAATAGCCCAGTGGGTAGGGCGTTTGCCTTGCACACGGCCGACCCAGCAGACCCAGGGTTCGATTCCTCCACCCCTCTCGGAGAGCCTGGCCAGCTACAGAAAGTATCTCGCCTGCATGGCAAAGCCTGGCAAGCTACCCGTGACATATTCGATATGCCAAACAACAGTAACAACAAGTCTCACAATGGAGATGTTACTGGGCATGCTCAAGCAAATTGATGTACAACGGGAGGACAGTGCTACAGTGCTATAGTGCTTCACAGGACAGTGCATTTGGCTGTCTGGTTGGGCTGCTCTCTGGTTCTGTTCCCACCAAGGGTTCCAGTTGTGTCTGTATAGTTTGTACCCTATTGGTTCTGCATGGACAAAGTATGTCCCCAAGCCCTTCTGGGTTTCTCTAAGGAGAAGCATGTACAGCCCAGGACCGGCATGTGACTCAGGGGCTGGAGCACATGTTGTGCCCCAGGCTAGATCTTCAGCACCGCATAATACCCCATCCCTGCTGGGAATGACCCCACGTCATGAGCTGGAAGTAGCCAGAGTAATCACCGTGGCTGAAGGTAGCCTCATGCTCCTTCTGCAGCACCAGAAATGTATGAAAGCTAAAGTTTGATTTTATAGGTTCATTTTCCTGTAACCTGCTGTCACTGGGTACGGGCTGATAGCTAGGGACAACTGTGCTTATCCCATGGGTTGAATCACCCTTGGTACTCCTGCATCAGGGTTCTGAACATAGAGAGGGACCACCTTACTCATGTGTGATGGGGTCTGGGGCTTCTCTGGACCTGCCTCCTCTTCAGCCTTTTAGTTTGTCTCAGTCTTGGGGATTCTCTAAGCAGTCATCCCATCAAGAGCCATCATCACGGTAGAGTGCTCACCCGGTCCGCTGACCATGTTGTTACTGTCATGGGAAGCAGGACTGTGAGACCACATGTGGCTGTTTTACTCGAAAGCCTGCAGTGTGGAGAGCATATCTAGGGAATGATAAAAAAAATTGAACATTGATAGAGGGTCCTTGTGTTCCTGGCTTGAGAGGAACTTGCCTGCAGGCCCACGGCTTGTAGGTATGAGAAACTGTGTGTCTGTGCATTGTGTGGCCCAGTGCATCTGGTCATGCGAACTCACATGTGATTGCATATGCACATGTGTGCACACTTGCAGGGGCGATGTGATGTGGGAGAGCATCTTGTTTTCTCTGCAACGGTAGGCTGTGGGTTCAACCCAACCCCTCTGAGAAGATCAGGAGGCTCTCAGAGGTGGATGGCCCCTCCCGAGTGATTTCTGCTTAATGTTTTGTGCGAATTCCCTGGTGCAGCCAGACCAGGGCTGCTTCTCTCTGTAGGGACTGGACTTGCCGTCAGTGATTTTGCTCAGAGCTTTATCTCAGAGCTTCTTGGTGGAATGACTTGGCGTCTCCCTGGGCAATGCAACTGGTGGAACTTGGAAGGTTTTTGTGCCAAGTTGCTCCCTAAATAGTGGTGATAGACCTGAGCATGAGAGCATGTGGCAGGGTGGGTGGGTGGGTGGGGAAGAGTGCCTGGCATGGAACGGGAATGGAGGGAGATCCTGAAACCAAGACATGTGCTTGGGAAAAACAATGAGTTTGCTCAGTCATGAGGGAAGATTCGGAAAACAGGAGGCCTATTTCAGAGCAGGGGATTTCCACTCCTATCCCCAGAGTCACCCTGAGTTTAAACTTCACTGTTGGGAAGGTACAGTGGCCTCGTACAAAATGGGCAAGCTCAAAGGGGCACTGGGTGCTTGTGGAAGGGCTAGCCCGGGTTCAGCTGTGGGCTCTGTTTCCTGAGCACAAGAAATTCCAACCTTGGACATCTGCCAGGGAGGATGTGTTGGGTTCTAGGGTCCTGGTAGGTTGAACTTAAAGGTTTTATAGTCCCATCTACCATTGGGCTTCCAGGTGGCAGGGTATATTGTGCCCAGAGGCCACCCCAGGCACCAGGCAGACTCGCGATTGTGCAAACTAGCTTGTGGACTGTGCAGAGTGTGAGAGCTGCTGTAACAGGGCTGCTGTCATGGTAGCCAAAGCTGTATCACAGTATTAGAACCAGAAGCTTAGGATCAGGGCATGGTTAGAGGAAATCATGCAATTTTCTGCGACCTGGTTGGAACCGTAAGATGTAGTGTTAAGTGTAGTAAGCCAAAAGAAGAAAGAAAACACAGGATGATCTCGCTTATCTGTGGGACATAGAACAGTGGGTGAGAAAAACTTTCTAAGTCGTTTCTTTAATCAAATAAAAAATACTTTAAAAATCTAAACTTCAGGGGCTGGAGCGATAGCACAGCAGGTAGGGCGTTTGCCTTGCACGCGGCCAACCTGGGTTCGATTCCCAGCATCCCCTATGGTCCCCTGAGCACTGCCAGGGGTGATTCCTGAGTGCAGAGCCAGGAGTAACCTCTGTGCATCTCTGAGTGTGACCCAAAAAACAAAAACAAAATAAGTAAAATTAAATTAAATTAAATTAAAAAAGAATCTAAACTTCAAAAGGAAAAAAGATCAAGGCATGGGTAGGGCTGGCTTTGGAGGCTCTGCAGAGGGCTCTGTTCTCAGCTGCTCTTCTTGGCAATAATTTCCTCCTGTCCTGGATGTGGACCTGACTCCAGATTCCCCCCCAATAAGAACACTCATCATTTCCTCCATAAAAATCATTTATACATAAAAGAGGACAGGAGAGATAGTACAAGGGTAAAGCATTTGCACCCATCTGGCTCCAGTTTGATTCCTGGCATTGCATCGGGTCCCCTGAGCCTTGCCAGGAGGGAGGGATTCCTGAGCACAGAGCCAGAAGTAAGTCCTAAATACCAAGAGGTATGGCCCTCAAAACATATACACATACAAAAATAGTATATCCCACATTCCTGTCTCCTCAGAGCCTCCGTCCTCTCTCTCTATGAATTTGACTATACTAGGTACCTCCTATAAGTGGGACCATCCAGCATTTGTCACTTAGCATCGTACCCTTGAGGTTCTTCCTCATTACCTCCTGTGTCATAATTCCTTCCTTGTAAGTGCATGCAGTATGCACTCTGTGTATAAGCCACGTTTTATTTCTATGTTCATCCTTAAATGCTGTGAGAAAGGCTATCAGTCAAACCAGTGTATGTGTGTATACATACACACATGTATATATAGTTAAAAGATAGAAGATTCCAGAATACAGCTCAGAAGGCCAACCTCACATCCCATCATGCTCTGTATTTTGATTTTTATTCCCACACCTATGCTTTAGCCTCAGCTTATATCCTCGGGGGCCCTGAGCACTTGGGAAGTCTTAGCAATTTCAGTCTTTTCTGATCATCAGGATTGTAAGTGACCCTGAGGGGCTAGGCACAGGTGGATCTAACTCCTGGGACTCTGGGGTGCCAACACCCCCATTCTCTATGGTGGGGAGAAACAGGACCTCCCCTCCCCCCCAGTGGCTTCATAACAGATCTGTGCTCTGTCCATCCCAGGCAAATGTCTGCAGACTTCGGCTGACCGTCCCTCCTGAGGATCCCGTTCCTGAGAAAAGTGAGAAGAAGATTGAGAGGAAAGATCAGGTAGGCAGTCCCCAGACCCTATGGAGCCCGTTTTCCCCTTTGTTCTCTGCCCAGACCCCCCTCTCCCCGTGCCATTCACAGAGCCCGAATGTCCTGCCGGCGTCTGTGATAAAGGCCTTCTTCTCCTCACCCCTCTCTCCCTTCTTCCCACAACTCTGCCGTGCCTGCTCTCGTTTCGAGGTGAACACAAGCTCTGTGTTGTTGCAGAGCGGTGGGACACTGGACTCGGTGACAGGTGTGGTGGCAGGGAATGTGCTTCTCTTGAAAGAGTCCAGCTGGGTGGCACTAAAGGCCCCTTTGTGAGCGGCGGGCAGGGCCAACCCTCTCAGAGGCCGTGCTGGGACGGTCAGCTGTGGGTGGAGGGGCTGGCACACACTTGCTGAGGCTTGGGCCAGGGAGAGGAGGCTGGCCTGGGGTCCAGGATACTCTCTGGGGGAGACCACATGCTTTATATGTGTGAGGCCCTGCGAGTTACATCCTCAGAATCAGCCCCAGGCAACAGCATTTGAGCCTTTGTTGTAAAGGAGCTCACAGTTTTCTCGTGGGGCAGACCTAGAGCTAAGCCATGGTATGCCAGAGGCCTCATGTTCAGGTCCAGAAGTGTCTGAGAGAGGGGAGGGAATAAATGGGCTCCTTGAGACAGTGTTGGAGCAGGGCTCAAGGGACAAGTAGAAGGTGCAGCTCAGACCCGTTTTTTCTTTTACAAGCAATAAAAGGGCATGTGCCTTATTCTAGGCACCGGTGTAGACATTGTGAGGAGAGGAGTGAACACACAGAAATAGATCTGTCACCTCTGGAATTGATCTTTTAGGGGCAGAGTTCTTCAACTGCCGGTGCACAGACCTGCAGGTGTACAAAGGTTGAAAATCACTGGTCTAGACTGCCTTGGTTATCACTGCCAGTGCAGCACAGATACAGTCCACAGATACTTAAAAAATGGTCGAAGAATGCTGCTTTAGAAGGAAAATGAAAACTTTAAATTGTAGAATAATTTATAGAGTTTAGAAGGTAGAACATGCTAAAGTGGACAGTGGAAGCATGGGATTGAAGTATGGTTGTAGTTTTCTTGTGCATATCTATTTTACATAAGCATATAATAGGATAGTAGCATGATATGTTTTGTAAATATAATTATGTGACAATGGCCATTGAGCTTGAAGCCTTGCTCTGGAACTAGTCAACAATGTCCCCAGCTATAAAATGGGAAGCTTTTCTTTAGCTGGGAGACAGTCGATTATGTCCCTGACTTCAATGATGGTTATTTTTCCTCCCTTTTCTGTCCTTCTCTCCACTTTCAACTGAGTAGTCTGTGCTTTGCAAATGATGGAGGACAGGAAAAGGAGGTCATGAGGAAGGAAAGCAAATGATAATCAGAGTAGAGAAATGTGAACTTAATTGTTTAAAGAAAGTCAAGGAGCCAGAGAAATAATATAGCAGGAAGGGCGCTTGACTTGCATGTGGCCAACCTGGGTTTGATCCCTGGAATCCCATGTGGTCCCCTGAACCCCACCAGGAGTGATTCCTGGTGAAGAGCCAGGAGTAAGTAAGCCAGGAGTCAGCACTATTGCGAGTATCCCCTGTCCCCAAATAAAATTAAAACAGAGACAAAGTGAGAGAGTACAGTGGGGTAAGATGCTTGCCTTGTAAGTGGTTGACTTAGCTTCAATTCCTGGCATCACATTTGGTGTCCTGAGTCCTGCCAGGAATGGCCCCTGAGCACAGAGCCAGGAGTAAGCCCTGAGCCAGCCAAATGTGGCCTCAAAACAAAAACTACAACAAAACCCCCAAACAACCCCCCCAGGCATAAATTTTTTAAGGTGAATTAAAATAATTTTAAAAAGAGGATGAGTCTCATGTTCAGGATTCAGAAAAATTAATGGTCCTGGGAGCCAGCAAGGGAACACTCAGGGAGGAAGGGACAGACCTGGTTTGAATGGGCCCTTCTGGCCTAGGTAGGAAACTTGGGCAGCAGGAAGACAGAGATAGGGCTATGCACATTGAATGATTAAAAAATAAAACCATGAGTAGAGAGCTACGATCCAAGAGAGAGACTTAAAATGAGCAGCTCTTTACAGAAAATCGGCCAATATACTTAGAAATCTCTACTTTTGTGGGCTGAAGAGATAATACAGGGGTTAAGACAGTTGCCTTGCCTTATACTTGACTAACCTGGTCCAATCCCTGGTTCCTCATATGATTCCCTGAGCACTGAGCAAAAAAAAGACAAATGAAAAAGAAGTCTCTGCTTTGCAATCTCAGGCTAAGCTCATCATAGGTGGAGAAGCTCATGGGTGAAAGGTCAATGTGGAGCGGTGGAGCGGTTCCTTACTGTGGTCTCTGGGTGGCACCTTCCAGATTCCTTGGGTCAAAAGGGAATTTGGGATACTTGGCACTCAGTGTTTAGCCAAGGGTCTGAGTTCACATTAACAGTCAGCGAGATCATGGCTGCGACTAAGCAGTCCTCTCTAGAACCCGTCTGAGATGCATGCCAAGCTTGTTTGGTGGAATCCAGAAACAAGGAAACAGAAAGCATGGGCCATTCTGTCATACAGACAGACCTTTCAGGCAGTTCTGTCTTACCAAAAAACGAGAGTCTGAGAATCTCTACATGGGCAATCACATTATGATCGCTTATGTAATGAGTGAATGCTGATTAGACTCTGGATCGAAAAGTTCTCTAAAAGAGATATTGAGATCATGTACAATTTTTGAATATGAGCCACACTGAGATAATAGGGGATCATGGTGGCTTTTCTCATGGGTGATGATACTTGGGTGGTGCAGTGGGACTTTCCAGGGAATGTGTTTGGAGTAGGAGCTCATACCCAAGAAGAGAGTGGGAGCGTCTGGCCTCTGTGGTTGAACCCTGCTCTCCCACCCACCCCTGATGACCGGGACTGAGTGGGGTGCTGTGTTTCGGGGAGGGAGGAACTTCCGGTCTCACTGCCCTTCTCAGTCTGTGACTGTCAGAGGTTGCCAGCTGCTCAGAGAAGTAGGCCTGGCTGTGTTCATGACCATACCTCCAATAAAGTCATGGTTAACAGAGACAGATGAATAAAGTCAGACTAATAAAGGCAGGAGGGCTGAGCACCTGGAGGCTCGGGGTGGCTGTGGGAGAAGAGATCCCCCCAGTAGGATGGAACCAGACAGCGACTTTTGGGGGCTGTTCTGATCTGCATGTAGAGAGCTTGGGGAACTTGGTGTCAGACCAAAGCTGTGTGCCTGGGAGCCATGGATGCTGGACTTGGAGGGCATGTCCCTGCCTAGGTAGAACATTCTGGAAGAAGAGGCACCTGTGTGCTATGTCGTCCAGCAGGTGACGGCCCCAGTGGAGCCATCTGCCTATTGGTCTTTGCAGTGTTTTCCATGCTCCTTATGGCAAGGGACATTTTTCTTTACTAATCAGAGTGTTTTTCTGGACCCTCAGGCATGAACTGACGAAGTGCTGCTGATGGGCTTGGGTGATGAATGTGCATAGTCCTGTGATCTCCTGCAGCCACTTGCGGAGTGCCCGGGAACCCCTGGGGTGCAAGGCAGAGCTGGGGAGGCACGGGGAGACCATGCTTCTGCTGGTTTCTCCACAGGCCACTCAGGTGTGCAGTGCAGACCCGTGGGGACGGGCCAATGACACTAGAGAGCTGGGCAAGGCAGAGGGAGTGGGACTGGCTGTCTCCGTGAGACTGACATCCAGGGGTGCTGGACCAGGGGAGGCGTGACGTCATCACCTCGTTCTGGCTGTGTTCCTGGCCCTGAGCCCCCAGGAGCTGGAAGGTGGGAGTAGGAGTCCCGAAGACTAGACTTGAGAGAGCTTGGAGGGGCCACGTCAGAGGAGGTGGTTTAAGGTGATGGTGTTAGTGGAAGCTGACTCTGGGGAGGTGACGGTTCCCTTGCAGGGGGCTCCACAGGGCTTCCCCGTGCCCAGGCTGAGCAGGGTCTTCTGTGTGCAAGGAGCATGCCTCCCCCATGATGTCTCCTGACCCCTGGCTTTCCCATGATTGTGCTTTCCCCTTCCAGGCCCTTGTTGTTGCTGAGTGGGGGCACCAGAGGCGACTGTGAGGAGGAGTCCCTGCTTGGGCTGCCCACACGGGCTGATGGTCCAGTTGCAATAGAGTGTTCCAGGCTCTGGCTTGCCCTGGGGCCGCTGCTGTCTGGCTGCTCTGGGCACCTCTGGGCTCCTCTTCCCTTCCTGGTCCTGAGAGGAGAGGCTGGTGTGGAGGGCGTGGCAGCGGCCGGTTTCCCGCTTCTGATGCTTCTGACGCTGGGTCCGAGGCAATTACCTAAGGGGCAGCTTCTGGGTAGGGCCGCACTGAAGGAGCCCCTAAGGCAGATGCTGTCTGTGCTCACTGGGGCCCCCCACCTCCTCCCAGCTGCTCTCTGCAGGCCCCAGATGAGTGCCCACCATTCTCGAGTCCTCAACTTTCTCCTTTCATCCTGCCTGCCAAGAGCTCAGACACGTGGAGATCACTCGTGTCCTGCTGGCGCTGCTGATGAAGAGGCAAAGACCAAATGCCAGCATGGCCCTTTGCACCTCCAGCCGGGCCTGCCCCTTGCTCCCTTTGACCTTGGAGCTGGGTCTAGCCCCTCGTGCCTCTCTGTGCCAGTGCTGCCGCCGGGGTCCTGCTAGCCTGTTTCTGCTGCCTTGGGGGGCTTGCAACAGTCTCTCTGGGGAAGAGGCATACCCCTGTCCACTCTCTCAAGCCCCATCCCTCCAGCTGCCTGCTGCCTTCCAGGGCTCTCGTGATGCTAGCATTTGTAGGTACAGCATGTGGGGATTTCACCCATGAATCGCCATTAAATGAGCTATTTATTTTATTTTATCTTGGTGTGTCCCAGAGCTGGCAGTGGCTAACTCCGGCCTCTGAGCTCAGGAACTACTGCTGCAAGGTTCAGGAGACTCTGTGACTACACAGGGACGGGACCAGGGCTGGCAGCGTGAGAGCTAAGAGCCTTCATACCAATCCTAGCCCAGAAGCCTGTAAGTTAGTATTTGAAATGATGGG